CACTGCTACAGTGCGCCGCTTGGGAGCGCGGTGGCGCTCCCACCGAGGGTTCAGATCCCACATACAGACCGGCCGCTCACTGGCTGAGCGAGGTGCGGGCGCAACACTGAGGGTTGCGATCCGTTGCCGGTCACGAAAAAAGACAAAAAGGAAAAAAAAAAAAGATGGGCACTATGATTTCAGCTTTGGGAAGCTACAAGATGCATGTCCTGGGCCAGAGAGCAGGTGCCCCCTTGCACAGTCCGTGAGCAGAGTCTCCAGATAGGCCTGAGTTAGGTCCCCTTGTGACGTGGGCAGCCAGAATTATGAGCAGAGAATGGAGTGTCTTCCCACGGGGGTAGTTCTGCAGAACGGCATCCCTCCACTGAGCCCAAGGAATGCTTTCAGACAGTGTCTGCTCCTCCCACCCGTTCTGTGATGCTCTCTGATAGTTTGTGCGACATTGGCTCGGGGTTTCAGTAGAAGACGCTCTGTGAGGAGCTCGATGTCATCCCGGGCGGTGGCCGTGCTCACTGTCAGGAGCTTGCACCACCTGCCAGCCTGGGCTGCCTGAGAGCAAGCCAACACCATCACCCCACTGATGGGGTCCCTTTTCTTCCAGAAGAGCAGTGTTGGCTCCCAAGGGAACACAGGCTCGGGAGAGCTGGATTTGACATGACAGGCTTTGCTACCCAAGGCAAGTGGCGCCTGCTCTGTAAAACCATGAACTCAGGAACCAACAGAGTCACAGTGGCCATGGCCTTGCAGAATGCAGGTGGTAGCTCGGGCCTTCTCCAGACCCCACCAGGCCACCACCACCAGTACCAGTCTGCTTGTCGATCGGGCTCTTAGAGGGCAGAAGCTGTGTCTTACTGGTTGTTCTGTCCCCAGGTTCTGAGGTGGTGCCTGGCCATGCCTGGCATATAGTAGCTGCTCAGTAAACTCTGAGCAGCTACTGCCGGTGGGTGGCAGTGATCTCTCATCTCGGTTAAAAGTGTTGTAAAGGACTTTTGCTGATTCAGAGTCTCAACAACAACAACAGGATGGTAATTTTTCCCAGTTATCTGATTTGCCAACCGATGGAAAAGGAAATGTAAATGCTTTTTGGTTTTTTGGGAACAAATGCTGTGGCTACTCCACCTAGAAGACCGCTGTCGACATGGGGCTCTTGCTGCTACTGAGAGATGATGGCTTTGAGTCTGAATCTGTGCTTTCTCGGGGCTCTTATTCCAGATCTCTGCTGTTCATCGAGCAGCTAGCTCCTTCTTGTCACTTGGGTCCAGCCGAGTGTCACCTCCTCAGACAGACCTTGCCCACGTCACCTGGTCTTTGTTCTGCAGGAGACATCTCTCCCTTGTGTTTCTTGTGTATTTGTTCCTTGTCTGTCCTGTGATGTGAAGCTTCGTGAGTGCTGAGCCTTGTCTGTCTTTATCTGCCGTGGTGCCCCTGTCACGTGGCAGACGGTACGCACTTGTCACACACAGCCTGGGCAGTGCTGCACATAAACGCTAGAGAAGGGAGACTTCTCATCCGCTAACCTTCTGTGCCAGCTCTGCAGTGCCAAATAGACAAACACTCCCTCACACACCCCAGTAATACTGTGTAATAAAGAAGTGTCACAATCTGTACTTCATCTTTTTCTCCATAAGAATTAGAGATGGTGAGAGGGGTGCCCTGGGCTTGCCTTGGGCGGTGAAATGTGCACCCTGAGACCTTCTCAGAGGCCCAAACCACCAGTGCCCCCTAGCATGTGGTCCCCACGTGCTCCTGTGCAGGGCAGTGGGCTGGAGCCGGTCCACCGTGGACAGCAGGGCCCACTTACTCACACACGCCGGCCAGAGCCTCCAAGCCTCAAATGTGAGCCTGGCAGGACTGCAAATGGCCATAATATCACAGCACTCCAGGGTGCTAAGGAAAAGCCAAAGCTTTATTTAACCCAAGACTGTCAGGAAACTGCTCCATTGAGTATTGGGGCAGATAGCCCTGAGCACACAGCCAAGGAGGGACAAGAGGTGGGGAGCAGGGACGTTAGTCTTGCACCCCATGTTCTGAGTCAGGGGGACCAGCCACCATCCCCTCCCTTCTCATTGCATTCGTCCCTCTTGTCCTCTCGAGTGTTTTCTCTCTAGCTGGCTCCTGTTAGAGCCAGTAGGACCTTGCTATTGAGTGGTTTGGGTGAAGAAAGTGTGGAATGGGCGTTAGCCTTGCTGCTAGCCTGTAGGAATTCCAGAAGCTGGAGTGGAACGTTCTTTCTTTCTAGAGGCAAACAAAATCCTCAAGTTGGTGTTTCTTAGTAGAACACGGAGAGCAGAAGGTGCTCTCCACAGGCATATCCGTGTCCCTGAATCATGTTCCGTTCCCGGAGGCTCCCTCTTTCCAGCATTGGGAGGTGAGAAGGGGAGTGTCCCATGGGCCCAGCTCCCAGCCCGCCTGGCCTCGTGGAGCTGGGACGCTCCTACCCCATTTCCTGATGAATTTGGCCACATGGAAATCAGTGGCAAAAGGAATTGCCACCTAGTGAAATAATTCCTTACACTCGGTGCAGAAAAGCTGTTTTCAGCAGAGTGGCATGTGGGTTTGGGAGACAGGAGGAAGTGATTTGTGAGTGAGAGAACTTTGCTGGGCCTGCTTAGCTGTCTGCTGAGGGGCAGGTCAGCCCAGCGTCTGCTCCTGAACCTCCTCCCC